TGGAACTATATCCTTCTACACATACTATATACTGTTTTTCATCTCAACTACAGACCCTATACGATTTCACTTTAGTTTCATCTTGACACAGTGTTTTGGTCCAAAAGTTTTACCCGATAAAGATGCAGTTTTTGCCCCACCCACCTTCGGCCACGCCCTCAGGCTGATGTCACCCTTCTCTTGTTATTCATCCTGTCAGTCTACCCCTGTGGTCCGGGTTATATGTACCTCGAGCAGGGGTTCCTTTTTTGTCTTTCTTTCTTTTTTCTTTTCCTTTCCTTTTTTTTCTTTTTCTTTTCCTTTTTTTTTTTTTTTTTTTTTTTTTTTTTTTTTTTTTTTTTTTTTTTTTTTTTTTTTTTTTTATCCACTTTTCGTACATAATCCTTGTCCGTGCTCCGACCGTTCAGCGTAACAGTGACTGTCCACACAGCTACACTCATTGGGACCATATAAGAACCAGTCTAGCAAATCCTGTGATTTTATTGATTCCATTTTTTCATCTTTTTATTACTCAAAGAAATTTATAGTTTGCCTTTGCTAAATCTCATATGATGATTGAAATGGTATTAAAGAAGTAACATAATGCGCATAAAAATAACTAAATATTGGCATTCTTTCAAAAAGAAGCAATAAAGAAACAAAAATAGATAAATAAATAAAACATGGCTTAGTGAAACCTAGATTATGTTCAGATTAAATTATTTAATATCCTAATACGTCTCAATGTCCTGCGTTATGTCAAGAAAACGTAATCGGATAAAAAAGGGAAGTATAACTCACGTGGATAACGCCAAGACACACACCTGTACTGAACAGGTAAATTGCCTCCACTGGCTAACAACCGCTAAGCTCCTCTGGTTTTATATATACTTATCCACAGGTTATGGATCTCTACATTCTGCTACGTGACCTCCCGGGGGGTCATAGCACCCAGTTTGGGGATCACTTTCTCGGGTCACGGGGGGATAAATGTTTATGATCATAGCACATGCACAGACAGCGAGCTTTGTGCATAATATATATATATATTATATATATATATATATATATATATATATATATATATATTATATATATATATATATATATATATATATATATTGTGTGGTTTTGTGGTGTTGTGCGGTGTTATTGGAAATGACACACCACCGAAACTGAAGAATCCGACCTTGCAATCCGATAGAATGTAAAACTCTATCACTTTTCTTCAGTTGCTTTTCCTCGCAAACTAATTATAAGATAAAGAGGAAGTGTTAAAACTCAACATTTCCAAAGCGTACTCTTGAAGCGGCGACAGAAAATTCCGCAAGTTGAGGAAGAGACGAGAAAATCGGACGGAATTGTAGCGGATGACGTCACCGAGGACAATCAAATGAGCCAATAGGAACTGCACTTGGCCGAGAACTGACGATAGACAGACCCAGCGACCCGTCTATTAGAGCCAGTAAAATCTGTGGTAGATGATCACGTGACGATATAATCTGGACCCAGAAGAGGGAAGTCATTTTAAGTTCAAATTAGTTCCATCGGGATTTCCGGCTGTGTATTCTGTCACGGGGAAATTACTTTCGCTCTTAATATGCGAAATATCATAGCGATAATGAAACGACAAAAAGAGGATTTTTGACGACTCGCTGAAGGAACACAGGATGCATGCGAGTGTGTGAGGTGTGGTTTGCGTGTGTGTGAGGGTGTTTGGTGTGTGTGTGTGTGGTGTGTTGTGTGTGTGTGTGTGTGTGTGAGGTGTGTTTGTGTGTGTGTGTGTGTGTGGATGTGTTGTGAGTGTGTGGATGTGTATGTGAGTGTGTGTGTTTATGTGTGTGTGTGTATGTGAGTGTAGTGTGTTTGTGTTTGTGTGTGTGTGTATGTGTGTTTGTGTAGTGTGGATGTGGATGTATGTGTGTGTATGTTGTGTTTGTGTATGTGTGTGTATGTGTGTGTGTTTGTGTATGTGTGTGTGTGTGTGTGTGGATGTGGATGTAGATGTGTGTGGATGTGTGTATGTGAGTGTATGTGTGTTTGTGTTTGTGTGTGTGTGTATGTGTGTTTGTGTATGTGTGGATGTGGATGTTTTGTGTGTGGATGTGTGTGTGCGTGTGTGTGTGTATGTGTGTGTTTGTGTGTGTGTATGTGTGTGGATGTGTGTGTGTGTGTGTGTTTGTGTGAATGTGTTTGTGAGTGTGTTTGTGTGTGTGTGGTTTGTGTATGCATGTGTGTTGTGTATGTGTGTGGATGTGGATGTGTGTGTGTGGATGTGGATGTGTGTGTGTTTGTGTGTGTGTATGAGTGTATGTGTGTTTGTGTTTGTGTGTGTGGTTGTTTGTGTGTGTGTGTGTGTGTTTGTGTATTATGTGTGTTTGTGTATGTGTGGGATGTGTTTGTGAGTGTGTGGATGTGTATGTGAGTGTGTGTGTTTATGTGTGTGTGTATGTGAGTGTATGTGTGTTGTGTTTGTGTGGATGTGTTTGTGTATGTGTGTGGATGTGTGTGTTTGTGTGTTTGTGTATGTATGTGTGTTTGTGTATGTGTGTGTGTGTGTGTGTTCATGTGTGTGTTTATGTGAGTGTATGTGTGTTCGTGTTTGTGTGTGTGAGTGTATGTGTGTGTGTTTTTTTTTTTGTGTTGTGTGTGTATGTGAGTGTGGTGTGTGCGTGCGTGTGTGTATGCGAGTGTATGTGTGTGTGTGTGGCTCACTTTCTCCCCCCTCACCTGTTCGATCCCGCCATGACCAAGGCCTGCCATGCATAATTTCTAGAATCCATTTCCGCGACCGAAAAATGTAGCTGCACAGATTTTCTACTCGGAATCACAAATTCTTCCTCCATTATAGATATATGAAAATACCCTCGGAGCGCCCCCGTGCATATTCATATATCAATATATCATCATATATATCATATCATATCATATCATATCATATATATCATATCATATCATATCAATCATTCATATCATATCATAATCACATATCAATATATCATCATAAATCTGTATGCATATTACATGTGAAATCTGATTCATTATGCATCGTACTTTCAAGCATGCAAACCAATCACTCGAAATTTTTTGACAGTAAACACTTTCATTATTAAATACAGGTTTCCATGTACAAATAGGATGTTTATTCATATACATAAATGCACACATACATGCATGCGTACAGGTACAATGTACACTCAGACACACGCACACACACACATATATATGTGTGTGTGTGTGTATTTATATATAAATGTGTTTACTCATTTATCATATATACACACATACATATTTACACATAGACACACACACACACACAACATAAATACATACATACATACATATATATAATATTATATATATATATATTATATATATATTTATATATATATATATATATATTATATATATATATGTGTTGTGTGTGGTGTGTGTGTGTGTGGTGGTGTGTGTGTTATATATATTATATATATAATATATATAATATATTATATATATATATTATTATATATATATATAATATATATGTATATATATATATATGTATATATATATATGTGGTGTGTGTGTGTGTGTACATAATGCCGTTTTTTATTCTGGAAACTATGTCTTGCATGTTAAAGGGGAAACAGCTTGGAGATGCGTCTGTTTTAGATGTGACAGCTGGCAAATTCGTGCCGAAAGATCAGTCTTTAGTGGTGGACATCATTAACCCCCCCCCCCCCCGCCTCTCGAGACGGCAACCGGACGCCCCCCGCCACGATCCTCGACGATCGCGAAGTCCCCCGCTGTACGCACCCCCCCCCTTCGGAGGACTCCCCAACGCAAAGATAGTGGGGATGAAGAAGGCGCCGCAGAAGGTTCCGTTCTCGACGCCGCGGACGAAAGGGCAGCACCAGCAAGAGTCCCAGGAGGACCAGGAGACACGCCAGGAAACAGACGAATCCCCCTCACGCCGAGAAGAACGCGGCCACGAAGCCCGGAAAGCAACGCGAGTCGAGGAGATGGCCTTCGGGAGTGACCCTCCCCCGGCGACCGGAGACACGTCAAAAGGATCGAGGAGGAGGAGGGAGGAACGAACGTAGGCGGCTCTCGTTCTTTGGAGGGGAGGTCTGGGAGAGAGGTCGCTGCGGCCGTCGGAAACAACACTTTAAACACAGCCTGATATGTATGTCAATTAACTTCCTTGGGTCCAGTTTCATTATCACGTGATTATCTATTACAAATCTACCGTCACCTCTCGGCCAAATACAGTTCCTGTTGGCTCAGCTGATTTCCCTCGCCTACGTCATCCGCTACAATGCCGTCCTACTGTTTCAACGCCGCCTCGATTTTTTTTTTTTTTTTTTTTTTTTTTTTTGTGAGCAGCAACTCCACAACTCCACCACCGCTGAACGGGAGGACCTCACGAGCTACGATATCACCGAAACACGCCAAACTAACAACTGTTATGCCCAATGCCAAGAAACCAAAATGATGCCAAACTACTTCGGCAGCGGGGAGACGTCTCGCCTGCCTTGCGACGGGTGAGGCCATCGGAAGCTGAGAGAGAGAGAAAGAGAGAGAGAGAAGAGAGAATTCGGTGCTAAAACGACAAAACGAGAGCACAAGAGAGAGAGAGAGTTGCCATAGATCCCGAAGGAAAACGTGACATAAGGAATCAAGAGACAAGTCCCTCTTGGGGCCTTCCTCGGGACCTCTACCTTCGCGGTTGAGAAGGGGGAGCTGCCTATCACCGGACCCGTAGTCGGTCCCTGATTTTTTCCGTTTCTTCTGGCCTCCTGCGCCTTCTGAGGGAGCCACCCGGCCTCTAATCTGTAGGGAGCTGACAGTTCACCCCGGCCTCCACTCGGAGAGGAGGATGGGGCGGTTCCTGACGTCGACCTACTTTTGTGTATGTTTAGGTTTGTGCGTGTGTATGTATATATATGTGTGTGAATGTATTTTTATGTGTGGATATGTATGTGTGTGTCCTCATTCATTTGCAATTTCTGATATCATGTAATCTGTCGCCAGATTCGGAGTTTTCGTACGAGGTCGGGGCGGACCCTGTGACCCCTAGCATGCAGGAAGCCTACAAGAAAAACGGCTATGTTATCATAAGGTTTGTGTTAGTGTAGGTTTCATTATATATACTATATATATATACCTATATATATGTGTGTTTGTCTGTGTGTGTAGATACAGATAGATTGATTGATTAATGTATGTGGGTGTGTGTCCTCTCTTTCGCCTGTGTGTGAGAGAGAGAGAGAGAGAGAGAGAGAGAGAGAGAGAGAGAAGAGAGAGAGAGAGGAGAGAGGAGAGAGAGAGAGAGAGAGAGAGAGAGAGAGAACGGGAGAGAGAGACAGAGAGACAAAGAGAGAGAGATAGAGAAGGTTAATATATGTGCCTATGTTTGTAAGTTACTATTGTAATGCCTTCAAGTGTTCATTTTCTTAAAAAAACTAAATCCCTTTTCTCGCCACATCAACGACGATCTCACTCCCCGCAGGAACGTACTGAACGAAACCGAAATGAGAAAACTGCGAAGAACAATGGAATGCGAAGGAATACAGAAGCACGCCTACATCACGGCGGACGGGGAAGCCAGGCAGTCCGGCTTGGTTATCTGGTTCACTGTCGACAACGATGTGCCCAGCGCGGTGGCCAGCTCCGAGAAGGTCGCCGGGGTCATGGAGAGGGTGAGGCGAGGAGGTCATAGATAGGGAGACGGGGAGATTGGTAGGCGTGTAGATTTCATGAGAGGTTTTAGGTAGATTGTGAAGGTGTGTGTGTGTGTGTGTGTGTGTGTGTGTGTGTTGTGTGTGTGTGTGTGTGGTGTGTGTGTGTGTGTGTGTGTGCATGTATGAGTATTGTTCATGTATAATTACAATTGTTAGTTTTATCTGCTCAGAATCCTATATTCCACGAAGGATTTTTTCGCCCCCTACCATGACCCAAACCGGCCTTCCAGCTGATGGGAGACGAGGAGGTGTACCACTTCAGCAGCAAGCTCATCATGAAGCACCCTGGCTCCCGCGGCGCCTTCACCTGGCACCAAGACTATGGGTAAGGCGGGTTAAGATTCCTCGACTCGCGAATGATAATTGGACATGCAAGGGGGTCCTCGGTTTACGACGGTCTAGACTTACGACGTTTCGTGGATACGACGCTAGAAATCATGTACAGTATTTACAGTTTGTCTTCCATGTGTTCCTTTAGCCCTATTTTCATGTACGTTATAAAAGTGTCTTGTTTTTTAGATTATGACTTTAATACCTGTATACATAATGCATTAGCATGTGTAAGTGACCGGTGCTTATGTACGTACGTATATGTACTGTATTTAGATGTTCCGTGACTTGCGTCAAAATTCGGGTTACGACGCCATCATAGGAACGGATCTCCGTCTTAAGTCGAGGACCTCCTGCATGTCATGTAGGTCAATGATGATAAAAACCGTAAATGATATACAGTCTGGTGAAAAATCAGTTTGAGAATTTTGGAAATTGTAAATGTTGCGTAATGAATGCGAAATAACACAGAACCTGGTGACTAATTACTATTTCCCTTCAAATACTTTTACACGCGCTAAGACTACTATCACCATTCTTTATGAACAATGAAGCTACTGAATTATGCGTCCTTACTATAATCTTACATAGTACAGATAGACTCATTATAACCATTATAACAGTCTAACATATAACACTTTTTAGGTACTATCGCTACAACCTCATATCACTGGTAATTAAATGTCATATCTCATACCGTTTCATTATAGTATTACAACCACAGTGTAACAAATACACTTTTACAATCTTATATCATCATCATATTCTACCCTATACAATCTTAGAAACACCACTACCACAATTTAGCAATATCCACAGAGATTGCAATCTGGCATCACTACTGTATATTATAACCATAGTGTGTCCAATTTCAGGAAAAGAAAACAATAACTGGGTCCTTACCCTGGATTTTTGGCGTTCTCTGATTCGTCAAATCTCATTTTCATGCTTATCAGCCAGCACTTGATACTCGTGTGTACAAATATCTTGCCCTATTTTCATTACTATATTCTAAATGAACTCTGCTGCTTTCAACACTATATTTTTTGCGTAAAAATAGATTTCCGAATTATTTGACTACAGAATATAGAGTGATTTGCCAATATTTTTCTTTCCTGAGGTTGGAGACAGGGTTTAATACCCATACAATCTTCTTACAATCCTATTACCCCAACAATCCAACAATCCAACAATCTACCCCCCTCTCTAGGTACTTCTACACCTGGGGCTACATCTACCCAGACAGTGCCTCGGTATTCATCGCTTTGGACGAATGCACGAAGGAGACAGGCTGCCTGCAGGTCATCAAGGGCTCTCATCACTTGGGGAGGATTAACCACTTCGTTGCGGGGAAAATGCTCCAGGCAGATCCGGAAATTGTGGCCGAGGTGAGCCGGCTTGAAGAGAGTTGGTTGAAGGCAGAAGAAAAGCTAAAAAAAAGATAGGGATAACTATCCATAGCTTAATGAACAAGATAAACTGGGCAAGGGTCTATAAGCCAAAAAAGAAAGTTCTGTAGACCAGACAAAATTCTAGAGACCAGATTAATTTAGCAGACCAAGTTTGAACATCATAATTAATGTTCTGGAGGCCAAACTGTTTTTTATATACGAAATTAGATTCTTGGGACCTAACTATTGGTTACAAGGCAAAAATGAATAGCAGGACTAGAAATTGCGGCTGAGGAGAGACAGTGGTTGGGTTTTTAAGATAATTGGAAATGGAGGAAAATAGGGAAAAATGGATAGATCAAAGAAAACTAAGGATATAGGAATTATATATGAAAGAGGTACAAAACTGGTTTCTAAATTAAGGAGAGTTTGTGTTTGTGGACTGGTGATCGGATGAATAGATCACATCCATACAAACACACATAAACCCAGTCTCAAATACACACACAAATACACTGCGCACACACTGTCACACACAGACAAATATTCCAACAAACATTGACCAGTTCCTTCCATCCAGAGTAGACCCAACTGACGACAAACCCTCACTTACAGGCTAAAAACGTTTAGAAGTCGTCGACGTCGAAATGAAACCTGGTGACGCCATATACTTCAGCGGAAACCTCCTCCATTGCTCTCTTCCCAACGTTTCCAACAAGCCTCGCTGGTCCTACGTCATCGCTTACAACCAGCGTCACAACCAGACGTACATGAAACCTGGTCATCCCCTGTACACGCCGCACCCGGGTTACATCCCGCTCCTGAAGTGGGTCGAGAGGGCAGCTGCGGGTGGCTCCCGACCTCGCTTCCTCGCTTTCCTTTGTCTGTAGTGTGTGTGTGTGCGTGTGTGTGTGTGTGTGTGTGTGTGTGTGTGTGTGTGTGTGTGTGTGTGTGTGTGTGTATGTGTGTGTGTGTGTATACATACAAAAAAAAAAAAAAAAAAAATATATATATATATATATATATACATATATATACATATATATACATATACACGTATATATATGTTTATATATATATATGTATGTTTTTTTATGGATTCATCTATGTATCTATCCATTTAGACCATCTCGCACCTGTTTCTCCATTCCTCTATAATCTCTATCTTCTCACTCACGATTTTTGGCCATTCATCTTGTCATTTGCATTTTCCACCATGTATTCCCATCCCTCTTCATCCATTCATCCATCCATCTCTGTACTTCTGTCTCCTTACCTATTCCCTTCTATCCATTCATCCATACTTATATCCATTTCGAACCTCTATATTCATCCATTTATATCTTCTCACCTGTTCATTAACCTATCCACTTTATCACCCATGCTCCTTTATCTATCGTCTATTCTTCTTAATCTCCTTTTATCGCCCATTCTTCTCTACCCATTCACCCCCTTTCTCCCTCTCCTTCCAAGGTCCCCGACTCGACCATCCTGACCTGCGAGGAGAACTTCGACATGGACAAGAAGTGGGTTCCTGAAGGGGAGGAGGACCTCACAGGGACAGCGACGCCGTCAGAGCGTCGAGAAGGAACAGTAGTTTTTGTTTGTTTTGTTTTGTTTGTCTTTTAAGGAAATGGATGAGAGAAGGTAGAACGTGGTGGATGTTTAGGTGGATGGTCAAAGAGTAGTAAGTGAGAGGGAGGGGAGGAAGGGAGAGAGAGAGAGAGAGAGAGAGAGAGAGAGAGAGAGAGAGAAGAGAGAAGAGAGAGAGAGAGAGAGAGAGAGAGAGAGAGAGAGAGACAGAGAGAGAGAGAGAGAGAGACAGAGAGAGAAGAGAGAGAGAGAGAGAGAGAGAGAGAAGAGAGAGAGAGGAGAGAGAAGGAAGAGAGAGAGAGAGAGAGAGAAGAGAGAAAGAGAGGGAAGAGAGAGAGAGAGAGAGAGAGAGAGAGAGAGAAGAGAGAGAGAGAAGAGAGGAGAGAAGGAAAGAGAAAGAGAGAGAGAATAAAAGCAATAGAAAGAGGATGCATAACGAGAGATTCATGAAGAGATGGGGAAATGAAGGAATGGTTGATAAAAGGCAGAAGTGGATAGACAGATAGAAAAATGAATACAATATAAAGAATGTTTTATATGAATTTTATTTGTTTGATCTTTTTCTTTTTCTTCTTGATTTTGTTTTAATATGCTCTGTGTTAATGTTACCCTTCCGGTGAACATTGGACTAAAGAGATATATACTATAGAAACATAACTTCATGGGATATTGTGTTACAATTACACAGATAAAGTAATATAGACTGTTGATTATTTCAAAAGGGAGTTAGACCGTAAAATAATTGGGAGTCACTGTTTCATCTAATTCTTATTTCAAACCAAATTAGTATCGTTGTCATTTTTTTTTTTGTTATAAGAATTATTTTCATTTCGTTGTTGTTATTACTGTTGTTATCATTATAATCATTGCCGTTATTATTGTTATTATGATCATTGTTACATTATCATTATGTTATATAGTTATTTATGGTCATTCATTACGACTATGTGTGTGTGTGTGTGTGTGTATATATGTGTGTGTGTGTGTATATTATATATATATATATATATATATATATATTAATATATATATATATATATATTATATATATAAATATTATATATATTATATATTATATATATATATATATATATATATATATATATATGTACTATATATATATATATATATATATATATATATATATATATATATATAATATATATATACATATTTATTCATATACATGTATGTATATGTATATATGAATACAAACACAAACACATATCCTAACAAATATTTTATGAAGAAGATTGAAGTTGTTAGTTTTTTTTTTATTTCATGTTTTCCTAAGACTTTTTTCAACAAAAATAATTTAGAATTGATATTATTTTAGGGATCTTGTTGTTTTTTCTCGTTATTGTTGATATGACTGAAGGTTTTGGTTAAAAAAAAAATGTTAAAAAGAGTTTCATTCTTTTCCCTTGAGCGAATAGATACCGTTTTGCCGATGTTATTAATATTATTATTATCATCATTATTATCATTATCACTAATGCATGCGTTCATTTAGTCTATCAACCTCATTAACAATGCTGACATGTGATGGATAGTAATGTTGATGGAAATTATGCGCTACTACATAAAAAGAAATTTATATAAGTAACATAAACAGGCGCAAAGAAACGCACAGATAAGAATATAATATAATAATATAATATAATATAATAATAATGATATAATATAATAAAATAATAGCATAGTGTAATAATATAATAATAATATAATATAATAATATAATAATAATATAATATAATAATACAATAATATAATAATAATATAATATATAATATAATATATATAATATAATATAATATATTATAATATAATATAATATAATACATATATAATAATATAATTAATATATATATATATAAATAATATATATATAATATAATATAATATAATATAATATATAATATATATAATATAATATAATATAATATAATATAATATAATATAATATAAATATAATAATATATAATATAATATAAATAATATAATATAATATATATATAATATAATATAATATAATTAATATAATATAATATATATATGATATGATATGATATGATATGATATGATATGATATGATATNTCTCCCTCCCTCCCCCCTCCCTCTTCTCCCTCCCCTCCACTCTCCCTCCGCATCCTTTCTCCCTCCCTCTCCCTCCATCCCTCTCCCTCCCTCCCTCCCCTCCCCTCCCTCCCTCCCCTCCCTCCCTCTCCCTCCCTCCCTCCCCTCTCCCTCCCTCTCCCTCGTATCGCCTTCCTCTCCTCCCTCCTCCTCTCCTCTCCCTCCCTCCCTCCTCTCCTCCCTCCCTCCTCTCCCTCCCTCCCTCCCTCTCCCTCCCTCCCCTCCCCTCTCTCCTCCCCCCTCCCTCCCTCCCTCCCTCTCCCTCCCTCCCTCCCTCTCCCTCCCTCCTCTCCCTCCCTCTCCCTCCCTCCCTCCCTCCCTCATCCCTCCCTCTCCCTCCCTCTCCCTCTCCTCTCCCTCCCTCCCTCCCTCTCCCTACCTCCTCTCCCTCCCTCCCTCTCCCTCTCTCGCCTTAGGCCCTCCCTCGTCTCGCCTTGCCAATAACACGATGATTAAAAGCGAGGAAGTTGAAGAAGAATGTGCCGAGGAATGTCTCGCGTCGTGTCCATCCTGGCGGGGTCGGCGCACTGGTCGGCGGGAGTCTTCGCTCGGCCTCCGCGTGACAAATGACTGTCGCTTGGCCGTGTTTGGAGTTGATCGTCTGCTGTTTCTTTGCTTTTGTTTTCGTCGTTGGTTCTGTTTGTTTTGTGGGCTTTTTGGTATTTTTCTTGTTTATATATTTTTTTGTTATTGGTGTGTTAATTTGTTTATTCGTTCTTGTTCTTCCTCCACGTCGGTTACACTTTCTTTCGATATACATATAAAAAAACAAACATTTATCTACATATTCATTAACGTATTCATTCCTTTATTATTGTTCAAATAACTATATATTGTTTTTCCGCTTTTTTCATGACCATTTAATCAGTGAATATTAATCGGTGTCTCCTGATGACGTCATTTGCGTGTCCCAGATGCGTCCACGTTCTTTTCCAGTTCTTATTTGGTGCACTAATAAAACGTTCAATTAAGTATGACCACAGACAAAGAGAGAAGAAAAATGAAGAAGGGTCATGGGTGAGATATAACTACGCGGGTAAGGTCAAAGGTCACGCGGAAAGACCGAGAAGACGAATTTCTTTTCAATATACAGTAGAACTGATCAATTAAAACAGACAGAGAAGACAAATGATTGATTGAGAGAGCGAGAGAGAGAGAGGGGGGAGGGAGGAGAGGGAGGAGAGGAGAGAGGGGAGGGAGGGAGAGAGGGGAGAGAGAGAGAAAGAGAGAGAGAAATGTGTGTTATGAGAGAGAGATGGAGATCGAGAGCAAGCGAGAGAGAGAGAGAGAGAGAGAGAGAGAGAGAGAGAGAGAGAGAGAGAGAGAGAGAGAGAGAGAGAGAGAGAGAGGGGGGGGGGGGGAGAAGGAGAGCACCCAAGGCAAGCGGGATATCCTTTCAAGTGGACTTGGGAGAAATCCTGGAGGAAACCGGGAGGACACTTAGCGGGATTGGCTCGACATGGGGCGTAGGGAGGAGGGAAAGGGGAGGGGGGATGGGGGGGAGGAGGGCGATGGCGACACTGAGACAACCTCTTCCTCCACTTTCTTCCCCTTTTTTTTTCTACCCTCCTTTCTTGTATTAATCCCTTCCCCCTTGTTCACTTCCATATCCCCTTTCTTCACCCCCCCCACTCCTTATGCCTTTTTCCTCCTCCCCTCCTTCCCCTCCTTTCCCTCTCTTCCCTCTTACCCTGACTGTCACCCCCAACCGAGGGACTTATGCAAAACCTTCCCGCCACGTGGCATATTGCAAAGAACATGAATTGCCAATCACTGCAGGAATATTTGAATAACGAAGATTGAGGGAAGAAGAAAAGATAAGACGCTCCGTGGCTCTACGTGCTGAGAAGATAGAAAAGAGGGAGGAGAGAAGGTCAGGGAATAACGATAATTGCAATATCGAGTAACGAAGATTGAGAAAACGTAAAGTAATAGATAAATGAATGGGTAAGGGGTCTGAGAGATTAGGAGACTTCTAAAGTAACCGAAGGAGAGGGTACGAGAGCGCGTGAAAGTCTGCAGTCTAGGAAGTAGCCAGATATGTAAATAGGTAGGGAATCCATCAAACAGGTAGGATAGGGAGGGAGGTTCTAGATAGGTGCGCACGGTGCTGCCAGTAAAGCCGTGAGTGAGTTAATCGATGGAAAGCCATGTATACTAAGTTAGGAAAGGGAATGCAGAAAGAAGCAAAAATGGGAAACAGGTAAAATGGTAACCAAAGGTATGACTAATCAAAATAAGATCTAAAAATACCATATCTATTGGAGAGTACACAGAGGACAAAAATGTGAGACGCAAAGGCTGATAACCGAATCCGGCAAAAAGGCAAACGCAAATACAAACAACTGCTCTATAAAAAAAACTGTCAAACTTGATATGAAAAGCAAGCCATCCGGATAGCAGGACGCATCGCCCAGTCGCCGGCGGCCCATACATACCTCGTCCATTATCTCCTAAAGCAAAACCAAGCGCGAACAAAGCCTTTAGGAAACGTCAGGACAAGGTGCATTAGCTAATGTTGGAGGTTTGAAGTGCATATTGAGGGCCTCGCTGAATGCAACTCTGCCGCAAAAGCCTCATTGCCAAGTTTGCGTGACTCAGGCTTCGAGCTCGACGCGATTTCAAGTAATGTAGAGTTGGTTTTGTTTCTCTTTCTCGAAACCATAAGCGAAATATGCTTCGAAAATACGAAGGGAAAGGGAGTGTACGGTTCAAACACGACGTTGCTTTTCGAGTCTGAATCTTCTGGAAATCCTATTCGATTTTTTTAAAGTGACTTGTAGAATTACCTGAATTACATAAGGACACGGATTGCATGATTGTGGTAGTTACTGTAATAAAAGCATTCTCGAAACAGCACGCGGAAGAGGAAAGAGGAAAAAGAATGCGCAGTTAGAATCTATGCCGGAGCCTGATTTTCACGCAGGATAGTTCTCAATACCACTCATTTCATAGATCATTTTAACGAGATTTTGCATAGACCCCGATGTACAGCG